ACAATGGTGATTTCCAATTAAAAATTATTGTTTGCACCACTTGTTATATAGTGAGCAGTAGTAGGCACATCAATTCAAGGGAGAAGTATTCACTCCACTAATTCTAAAAGATAGAGAGGAAAACCTAAGAATGGGTTCGGAAGACATGCAAGTTTTAAGCACAACCTCTAAAACATATATGTTCGACAAATTTAGGTAATAAAAATTGAGTTTGTGATTGTATATAAAAATGGTTTGGAAGAATAGACATTGACACCCATTTTAAATTTAAAAATATATAACCCCAAGAAATTTATAAAGAAAAAAAAAGAAAAGGAAAAAAAGATGGGATTCAGATTAAGATCAAAGTTGGTGGTATTACCTTGGTGTTATTGTTTCAATTGGCGTTTCCAGGTAAAGCTCAAATTGGTAGTGCTGCTCCTGCGGCTGGTGGCGGCGATGCTGCTCCTGTTGCTGYCGGTGGAGGAGGCAGTGGTGTTTTAGATCTCACAAATTTGGGTGCTAAGCCTAATGGTGATATTACTCCAGCGTTCACAACTGCATGGATGCAAGCATGTGCATCCATCGCTGCAACTAAAATATTGATTCCAAAATGAGGGTATAATTTAGGTGAAGTCAACGTCAAAGGCCCTTGCAAGAGTCCAATTGAGATTGAACTTCAAGAAACGTTGAAGGCTCCAATTGTAACAGAAACAGATGGATGGCTTACTATCGGAAATGTTAATTACTTAACATTGTCGGGCACTGGAATTTATGATGCCCAAGGAAAAGAAAGTTGGAAATTGAATGATTGTCACGTAGACAAAAAGTGTACCATACTTCCCATCGTAAGCTTACCTTCTTCAATAATTACAATACTATTCTATTTCTTTCACATCATCTTATTTTTAGTAATTTTAACGTTTTTTTATTGTTCACCAGAGTTTTAGGTTCAACTTCGTCAACAACTCAATAGTGAAGGGTATAACTTCATTGAGCAGCAAGAATTTCCATGTCAATGTCATGGGCTGCAATAACGTTACCTTCGACCATTTCACAATTACTACACCAGAGGACAGTCCAAACACTGATGGAATTCAAATAGGTCGTTCCATTGGGATTAACATCATCATCTCCAACATTGGAACTGGAGATGATTGTGTGTCTATAGGAGACACAAGCAAACAAATAACGGTCACAGATGTCACTTGTGGACCAGGACATGGCATTAGCATAGGAAGTTTGGGAAAGTTCGAAGGTGAAGAGATCGTGGAAGGAGTTATAGTAAAAAAGTGCAAATTAATTAATACTTCCAACGGTGTTAAGATCAAAACATGGCCTGGTACTCCTGGCACTGGTAGGGTCACCGACATGTATTTTGAAGATATTGAAATGGTTAACGTTAGCAATCCTGTCTTTATAGACCAAGAATATCGTCCACACAATCACTGCGAGAAAAAGGTACGTGTTTTATTCTCATGTTTTTAGTTTATTATTAACWTTAAATTTGATTTATATTATAATGTTATTTTTTGTATTTTCAGAGTCCATCAAAGATTAAGATCTCAAAAGTTACCATTAAAAATATCAAAGGCACTTCTGCTACTCCAGTTGCAGTCAAACTTGTTTGCAGYCAAAGTCATCCATGTGAAGGCGTAGATATAGCTGATATTGACCTTACTTACAATGGAAAGGAATGACCAATTACGTCTGAATGTCTAAATGTGAAACCAACTGTTTTTGGAAAGCAAAACCCTCATGCATGTATTGCACCCGCCGCTGCTAACTCTCCATCAACTCCGTAATCAAGTTCRTTGTGAAACTTTTATATACTAGTAAGAAACACGTGCCTTGCACGTAGAATCTTGTAGTTCTAAATTAAAGTAAAATAAATAGTGTTTTTTAAGTTTATAATATTATCATTTTAAAGAAAGAAAGTGATTATATATAAATATAAATTCAAGGTATGATATTGTTATAATAAAAGAAGATGATGAAAGATTAGCATGGAAAGTAAGTACAAATTTGAAGTGTAAAGAAGATGAAAAAGCACCAACGTGGTGGTTTTTTTTTATTAATGAATGAACGTTCTTAATTTACTCCTAATTTTCTTGATTATAAATTATTATATTACATTTTATTTTTGTTAAATTGTGTGATGTTGAATCATTAAGTTTGTTGATTCTAGAATGAAAAAGAAAGGTAAGAATAGAGAAAGAGTAAACCCTAAAAGGTCCAACCTTATGATATTGAGAGGGATAAAAATTGTTTTTTTGCCCTAACTTTGTAAAAATAATTACAACATTTCACATAYATAAATCAAAAGCATCACTTTAAAAAAATAAATAAATAAAAATCAAACTCATRAGCATTCTTATTATCCAAATTATGAGAATGATCGAATTTTGCTTGATCTCGATTCCATTGACCACCATCTCGACACATCGTACTCTAAAATTTCTTTCAATCTGAACAATGATAAATTTGGAGAAAGCGAAATAATGTCATCAACTCAGTTTTAATTTGGCTTCTCTTCAYTGTCAATTATCCTCTTGATCGCCCATATGTGCATTGTTGTTGTCGTTGCTAAAGCAAGAGAGTAATCTTCATACCATTCACACCACTTAGAAAATTTTCTACTTTGTTCCATCCACCACCTCTTCATTTTTGGTTGGCATGAGAAAGAGAGGACAAATATTTATATACGGATTGGAAGAGGGTTAGGAAGATGAAAGGATTGGGGGAGGGTATGTGGTAGATGAAAGGAGTTAAAAAAAAAAGATAAAAATAATGAAAAAATAATTAAGAGAGAGAAGATTAATAAGAGAAAATAGGGGAATTTAGATGGGTGAGATCGTGAGAGAAGAGATAAATTGAGAGAGGGAAAGTTTGTATTTAAACGACACAATTGTCATCAATTGAAAAATGAAAAGACTTATAGTGAGAGGGCAAAAATAGTATATAGAGTTAATTATATAGAAGAGAGAGAGGAGAGAAAAACACTTCAAATTCTAGGAGTAAAAAATAAATTAAATAGATGATAAAACTTTTCATATTTTAAACCAGATTAAGTGAAATTATAATTTTAAAAGAAAAAAAAAAGATAAATGGTTATTTGGGTAGGTTAATTTGAGTAATGCATTTGGATGGTGGAGAAAAAAATGAATGGAGAGTAAATGTGAAAGAAATATAATGAGAGAATTAAGATAAATGAATGCAAGAAAATGAATTTGTATAGGTGGAGATAAAATATTTTCAAAGAAAAAAAAAGAGATAAATGAGGGAGTGGGCGTGGGAATGAGAGAGGAAGAAAGTAGGAGAGGTAAATGACAAATTTGCCATCAAACTTTTATAAAAATGAGTTATTGAAGAAGGGT